CCTTGGGAGCATTATACTCACATCGATTTTGTTTTGTCTGTATTATGAATTTCGAAATTCAAATGATTCTTATCAGAGAAGATATAATAATAGACACTTACCTCATATTTAATACCATTGAGTCGCAACCATGTTTCCACCTTGAGACAATAAGGTGAGATGGATGGCAAAAGAGGTATTCGGGAGAACTGATATAGATAAACAACATCCTTCTCATAGTTGGTTTTATGCACGCTGATAGCTTTGGTCGGTGCCGAGGATGGCGTAGCGGCCGCGGCGTCAGCAGTCTCTTCTTTTTTATTTTCTTCCTTTTTCGCCGCATCTTTCTCCTCCTGCTTATTGTCCGGCGGCGTTTCGTCCTTCAATGCTTCTTTCATCTCTTTCACATCTTTTATCTCTTTGCTTTCCGGCCCAGTATTTTCTGTTTCCGTTGCCATCGTCATTTTGATTATTTTTCACAAGTCCAACTGATCTTAATAAAAACGAGAAAACGTTTTGTACGAGCGAGCAAGGAAACAAACGTCGACGAACAAGTTCTCGAGCGACACTGGAAGCCTATCTCTCGAAGACAGCGCGCACCACACAAACGTATGCCGGGTACTCGTCGATCCCTCTGCTTGCCGGCCGGTTCCTTCTCGTCGCTGTCCCGTTCTGTCCACAGTTCCTGTCCCCCCAGCTAAAATTGATGTTGCGCATGCGCAAGCGCCACACCCCACTGCTATCGCCATATTTAATTGGCCCGCCACCCCTGCCCGGTCCGCGTGCCACTCTTTCTCTCTTTCTCTGTTGATTCTATCTTTCTTTTTTCATCCAAGTCCCTTTGAATCCCTCCTTTCCTCCCGCAAAACCCCCATAAGCAGGTTCGCTTCCACTTCGCTGTGGTTAGTCTCGCCTGGCAACACTGCCGCCATCGCCATCTCAAGAGGGCCGAACAAACTCGCAACTATGTATTTAGGTACCCGGAATGAACTATGAAACATTGTAATATATAATATATATATTTCTATTATTAAATTGTATCTCAATTTTCCTTTATTTATATATATGCTATTAGCATGCTATTAATTTTTATAATTATATGATACAAGTAGTACTTGCAGTGATAACATATATTTTTGTTTCATATATTTATTATATTTTAAATTTAGATTAATTCTAATGCTCTCTCGAGAGAAGAACAGGGCTCCATAGCGTTCTAGTTTCAGACCTGAACCAACCCAGCCAACTGCTCTTCTTATTTGTACAAAACCGGCAACGTCGCACCAGACCGGCGTAACAACGAACCCCTTTTCACGGATTACTTTTTTCCACTTTCTATCCGATAGACTCCATTTGGAAAACTACCTGCCACAACTTGCGCCGTCCATGGGTATAAACTCTCTTCGAATCATACTTCTTTGCTTTTGTCTTTGCGTTTGATGTTTTATACTTTCCTCTCTTTCTTTCTTGGCTTTGTTCAATGATCTTTTCATTCTTATTTTTTTGAAATATCATATTGATTGTTAAGTCTATAAACGAGATTATTATGCCGTTATACAATTAATCCAATCGGGATTATTTTTTCTGTAGATATCGTTTCGTTTAAGAATAAATATCAATAAGTGTTGCAAAAAGCCAAATTTTTTTATTTCAAGACGCAAATTAATGATCGAAGGAATAAGAATTGATATTCCAAATCATTTCAATTATCGATAGAGATAACAAAAAAAAAAAGACGTATAAATATCGCAGTTATCATTTCTTTTATATATTGTACTTTTTTTGAAAATTAAATTTTAATATAACATGTTATTTTTTAATTCTATGAAATTTTTTTTGGTAGTACAATGTTTTAACAAGGAAAGGAGATAACAACGTTTTAAAAGTGAATAAAAATTTATTTACTCCTGATGTGTGTTATAATATTCCCCACAATGTTCATGACAAATGTTCATATCGTTGTTCATAATGTGCGCGTTATCTGTCGAAAACTCTTGTGTATAACAGGAAAATCATTGACAACACTCATTTGAGACATAATTAAAATGCATAGTGTATATAGTTACTTCCAAATGATCGAAATTTTTTTATAGAAACTTGTTGCATTGCAAAATATTGAATAAATGTATCTGAAGTGTATTTAATAATAGTTTAAATTTAGAAATATAAATGCATAAAAAGAGATAAATAGTAAAATATATACATATTTATCATTCGTACTTTTGCGCTAAAAAAAAATTTCATTCGTCTTTTAATATTATTTTTCTTTTTGACTGAAGTTGGCACTATCAATGGCGAAAAATAATCGAATATTAACACTGATCGATCGATACCAACAAAATATGATGATATAATGGCCAATGAAATCCCTCAAATTCACATTTCAATGATCATTAAGATTATTATTATTATTATTATTAAAATAATATATATTAAATATTTTTTCTAAAAATATAAGTATATATTTGTATAAAAGTATACATGCATATACTTCTAATAACATTTCTATTAAAATTAATGTTCTATTAAAATTAAAAAACTCAAGATCTAAGAAAAATCATTCTAGAAATTGCACAATTGATTTATAATAGAATTGATAAAAAAAATTTAAATTTAATTAAATATTAAATTTTTTAAAATAAAAATGTGACTATTAAATTAAATAAAGAATTCTTTAATATTATCTAAAAAAATATTTATTATTTTAAAAAATGCTGATTATTATAGAAAAAAAATATTTAAAAAATAATTTCATAAAACATAAATAAATTTCATCATTCATAATAACTAGAAAAAAAAAGAATTTATATCAAACTGTATTAAAATATTAAAGTATTAAAATTGTATTGCAGTTCTTCGTACCAAATCTTTTTTTTTAATAAGCCATTGAAGACTTTACAAGGAATCGATTGATCAATGCTGATACCTCACTGATCGATCTTTGCAAATTGCATTAAGATTGATCACTATGTTTTAAAGCAATGAAATATTTATTAAAAAAAGAAATAAATAAGTTTTTTTCTTTTCGATAAAAACACTAAATCAAACGTAAATGCATTTGCTGATCAATTCTTTAAAATAACAAATACTAANTCGCTTATACAAATTTTGCATTTTTATGATTTTCTAATTAAATACAATTCATCATGATTTTTTTCCTATTCTTCACATTATTATTTTTATCGATCATTAGAACAATATTTAGAATAAACTTAAAATTAAAAAAATATTCTGCATAAAAATTGATTTTCAGATAATCGCATACCTATATTCACAGAAAGGATGTGAAAGAATTTTAGATATTTTTTAATATCACTTTCATTAGCCGTTATACAATTAATCCAGTCGGGTCAAATATTATGAGGCAGTATCGAAATTATTCTTATTATTCTTCTTATTTTAATAGACGAAAGAAACATATTTGATTTCTCTGGCGAAATATCTGAAAAGACGAGAAACTAAGCCTTTTCTTACAGTAATAAATTATTGAGCTTGTGCCATTAAGCGTTGTTTTAGCATATTTCTATGATTTGTTTTAAAATTAGATAGATTGCTATGGAATGACTTTTCTTACAGAATATTTTCATTTTCATGAAAGAAAGAGAGAAGTATGTTAAAAGCGACACGATACATTGACTCTTTTTTGAAAAATATCAAATTGCCATAGGAAATTCTGAATGTTTAAGATATTAGAAAAAAAATTTTTTTTAATTTTTTTATATAATCTAATTTATTTAAACTTTTTAAAAAAGTGATTATGAAAAATATTAAAAATATTTATCAAGATTATAATTAATCTATAATTTTTTAACATATATTATAAAATTTAAATATTTCGAAAAAAAAAATTATACTTTTGTTATTGACAAACTTTTTTATATTTACAATTTAAAATTTTTATATAAATTATTTTATAGAATAATTATTTTATTAGAATAATTAAAATAATTAAATATTGCAATATTATATACAAAATATTATTCATTAGAATATAGTATGTAGTATTCATTTTAATTCCCATAACAAATCGATACATATATGTAAATACAAATACAGAAAATTACAACAAAATAATCTCCAATTATGATCTTCAAATTACATAGCTATAAAGCAAGTGAAAATGTGAATTTCGAGTGCCTACGATAAAATAAAAAAAATGTTTATTTGTTTGCTAATTTTAAATTACAGAGTAAAGATCATTTGTGTTGTAAAAGTTTAATTATCGAACCTTCCCTTTTCATAAATGAACTCAATTAATAAGATTTTACAATATTGCAAAAGATAGATACATGCATTTTTTTTCGATTAAACGTGCATGAAAGCAAAACTTTATTATTTTAAGAGAATTCTTGGTGATGTTTTCACAATTGATATTCATAATTTTGATACCAATTATTCGTGATAAAACAGAATTATTTACAGTATAATTTAGGCCAAAGCGAAAAATTGTGAACGTGTTTAACCCTTAACGTTCCAATAAATAAATAGATTAATTAATATTTAGCTAAAAAAAATTTTAGATCAAAGATAAAATTATAATTGATTTTAAAAATAAGATTTTAATAATAAAATTGCAATTTATATTTTTATTTTATACAATTTTATTTTCTGAGTTAATGAAAAATTAAGATTAATATTTTATTAAATATTTTCCATCATTTATAATCCATATTTATATGTAAAAATATATGACATTTAAAATGATTTAAAATTAAAAATTTATCTATAACGATTATTATAATCAATATCAAATACATTTACGAATTTTTGTTTATAATATTAATATTAAATATTGCTTCTTTTACAAATCATCATTTTTCTATCTCTTTATGAGTAATAAAATTCTTTTTTTAAATTCATATCTATTTATAATTATAAATACTTTATATCTTTAAAAACTTGTTTTTTATTTATTTTAAAAGAAAAGAATAATTCGAAAAAAATATTTATATAAAAAATTCTAGCTAACATATTCTGGTAATAATTCTGGTAATAAAATGATTTATTTGCACTGTTTCACAAGAAACACTTTTCAATATATTTTTTTATCAATAATCTTGTAAAGATATGCTAATGAGTATAAACAAATACTCTTCCATTAGACAGAATGAAAGAAATAAAAAAAAAACTAGTGATAAAATTATTTATCACATGATATTCATTGCAATTTATTACATGATAAAAATGATCATTTTGATATCAATTAGCTTTTATCTTAAAAATAAATAAATCCCAAATCATTTACTTTTAACTCTTTAAACCGTCTCAAAACATATGATCATTTCAGGAACAAGAATGGATCGTTAAGGGTTTGATCAAGCTAAAAAAAAAACTGAAAAGTGAAAAAAAAAAGCACTTTGACGTTCTGATCTGCGCAATTACTTACGTTGGAAGTAATTATCACATCCTAGGAAGTCGTTATAAGGAACGAGTTATCCGGGCTATTTAAGTTTTACAAGAGTACTCCCGATTATCTCGTTCGGTTTCACTTTCACTTTCATTAATCTGCAATTAGTAAATTAATTTAAAAAACACTGATAGTTGCTTTTTTTTTATCAACAGTTGCTCTTAAATCCAATTAACGAAATAAATTTTTGTTGATTTTCCCTTTCTTAATAATCAAAATTTTTAATGAATAATGAATTTTGTTATTTTTATGTATGTTTGTGTATGTATTATGTTGCTTTTAAGAAAATTCTTTGTTTTATAGTTGAACTGAATGTTTGAATCAATCTCGTGTCGTTTCTTCATTTCGAGAATGTATAACAAATACGCAAATATTCGCAATAAGAATACTGATGAATCTAGAGTATTTGGCATACTCATACATTTTATCGTTTTACATGTCTGTATTTTGTTGTTGTTGTTATTGTTTTAGTTTTTCTGTAGAATTGTACAATCGAAGTAATATATTACTGCGATTCATTAATGAGACTCTAAGTATACCGTCGTATCAGGAAAAATGTTTTTTTGATTGTTTTCTTGAGTCTTTTCATTTTTTTTCTCTCATTCTTTCCTTCACAAAAGACAATCATAACTTATTGATTTTCCCAATGACGGATTTCATTCTATTCAATATACAATTCCTTAAATGGAATTACATTTGGTTTAAATTACAAAAAATACACAGAATGCGTAATACGTATAAAAACGTGTCGTTTATGCGTCACATAATTATATTTAATCTATAGTACTTGTCGATTGTGAATAGACTTCGAAATGTGTATTATTGATCATAAAAATCAATAGAATAAATCGATAATAGCTCCCAGTTCAATAAAAGTTTAAGATAAAATAATAAAAATCACAAACATAGTATTATCACTATATATGATTATCAGAATAAAGTATTTATAAGAGAGATTGAGATATTTAAATATCATTCTGTTTATACGTTAAAAGAGCATATTTGCAAAAATTTCGAAGTCTATTTGCAGTAATCGATTCGGGTCAGATAGTTTTATATTGAGTTATTAATGACCACCAGATTATACCTAGTTAATCGCTACTATGCTGTTAATATATCACGAGCTATAGTGATATTATACGTTAACTAAAAACATAATATCGCTATTATCTCTATGTGTTCTTGATTTATAATATTCTATGTGCGTTATAATTTGTCGTTTTCTACATCGAAAAGCATGATCATGAAACATAAAAAGTTCCATTTGCTTTGACAATGGAATACTTCTGTGTATGTTCAAAAGATAATTAGCTGCCTAATGTTTGGTATACATGGATTTCTATACCTCTGGTGAATTCTGTGTAGACGCATTGATATGATCCTGTAAACAAATTCTGAGATCCCGCTCGTCCAATTCACTTTCAGTGTCAACACTGAAACTTCTTACATTTTGTCCACCATGACCTGTCCAACGTTGTTTCCAACTTTCTAGCCTCATGACCTGTAGCATACATTTAATATGCAATTATGTTTATAAATTTTAGGAATGATTTCTATGAAATCTATATAGATTTTGTACATCATTTTAGAAAGGAATGTGCTTTACATTTTCTTCTCTAAAAATATTTTGACACAGTTCAATTATTTTCTAATTTATTGGACAACTGTGAATTATAGTTTTTAATATAGTATATATAATTTGCTATTCTATTAATTATAAAACTTATTGTGTCAATGATTATTTTTAGGATAGTTTTTGTAAAATGATTAGCATTGGGTACTAATTTTTAAAACTAATACATGGTAAAAAAAAATTGTGCAATTTTTATGATTATATATAGTGCTTATGAAAATTCTTCTCACATTTCTATTATATTTAATTCTTCACTTAATTTTTTTAAAGTAATAAAAATTGCCTAAAACCAAATAATGATTCTTAAAAGATGCAAGAAATGAATAAATATAAATGATCACAATGATTAACATGCATTTTATTCTAATATGTTTAATAGTTCGTTAAAAAAATAGAACAAAAAATAATAATAATAAGAAATTATTGAATAATTTTCTTTATTACAATACTAAATAAATATATATTATAATATTGTATATATATTGTATACTATAATACTAAATCCTATTTAATTGTATATCGTTTATGTATCGTTTCTATAATGTAAGATTAATTTTCAAATATTAAATAATTCTTAATATGCATTTCTAACTTACTGATTAGCATTAATTTTTCATTTTATAAATCATAGTAAAATATTATGCTGAAAATTATATGAAGAGCATGCATAATCAATTTTTTAACATTATTTAAGCAACATGTTAAATAAACCATAAGATCATGAATATTCTTAAAGCATTTCCAGGATGTGCTTGGTATTTCTTTCTATCTTATTTACACCTGTAGTAAAATAAATAAAGAAAATGAAAATGAAGCATGCAAATAGTGATGTGCAAGTTGCAAAGCATATACATACCAAATGAGAATCAAACTGAGTGCTCTGCTACATGTACAATTGTAAGACAGCACAAGAAATCGAGGTAATGGGGGAACAAATGTGTAGGTATCAAAGAAAAATCCAAAGACATTAGAATATCAAAATTCAAAGATAAGAACATTTGTTATTCTAATGTTTTTCTGAATCTCATAGCACTTGATTGTAGATTGAGATGAATTGTCCTGTAATTTAATATAGTATTTATAGTTTTTTATAAAATATATATACAGAACTATGTATATAAAAAGAAAATACAATTTTCTGATACACGTTGACATCATGCTAAGTACATGAAATGGAAGAAAATAATGCTTACGGATGGATAAAGACTTACTCGAGCCAGCGCCAAGGCTCAGTCTCCGGGCTGGTGATTGGCGTAGGGAACTAAGGAGACAGAGATAACACAGCAATAGAGGGTTAGTTTTACAAGAGCATTAGTTTTTTTGTGTTAGTGTTTGGTACCTTTACACAATAAGAATTCCGCTCATAATAGAAATTAAAATTCAATTATATCATCATCTCATCTTTTTATACTAATGATGTTTTTATTTAATAATTTTTTGTTAATAGTACACATTATTATATATTTTTGTCGAATGTCTAGTTAATATAAAAAATTAATATTAAAATAAATAAGCGATATCTTTGAAGGTATAAATATATTTTTTGTGTCTTTTTTTTTGTCTTTCTCTTCTTCTTTTTCTTTTTCTCTTTTCAATCAAACCAATTATTACTCCGTGCTGTGCTAGCTCTCAATGTCTAATAAAATGTTCTTGAAGCACAATTAGTATTACAAATGGCAAGCTTGATTTATTGTAAAATGATTTCAATAATATTTGTCTACACAAAACATTTCAAATATTAATATCAAAACATTGAAAATTTGATACTTGCAATCATTATAATAAGATATTTATAATAAATTTTTTTAATATTATATTTTATATAATTGATTATAATTATTGTCTCATGAATTTAATTTATTGCAAATTTTCAATGTAAATAAAATTATATAACAACACATAGATATTATCATTTGAAAAGATACTTTCTTATATTGTGATGCCCTCAAAGATATGTCTTGGTTCGATACAATGATGATTATAATATTTTCACAAGTGCAAAAAATAACATTAAATGAGCGGATACCGTAATCACGATTAAATTTAAAAGCAATTTGACATTTATTATTTATATTTTGCATTGCAGCATAAACATAACAAGCCGTGAATGCATCTTCAAAGCTTTGACATGTAAATAATTTCTTCTATGATTTAAAAAATTCACAATCATTATGTGAATATACAAAATTAGAAGTAGAAATAATCATAGATGCAATTTTAATAATGAAAACACGATGAATTCTTAATGTGTACAGGTACCTCTAAAGGAATGTTATTTGTTTAATATGAAAAATGTGAAACGATTGTTCTCGTCGATAATAGCAATTAATTATTAATAATAAATGTAAAAAATATGTATCATTTTTTTAAAATTCATTAATTTTACAAATTTTTAAAAATGTTCATTGAAATATTATTATATTAAAATTATATTAATTAATGATATTAATGTAAATTCTTAAATAAAAATCAATAATTTTATTAATATTGATAAACTTTGTTTCAATATTAAATTGAACTTAGAAGAAGAAAAAAAATTCTGAAATAAAAATTACAATCAAATATTTTATAACACATGATTTTATCAAAAAAAAAAAAAAAAAATTATTTATTAGCGTGACGATTAGCATTACATTGCAGTAAGAGGTGCAATTTGGTGCATAATTTTGTGAGTCACAATAACATGAAAGCATAAATTACACTTTTGCTTATGTTACATATTATTATGATAGATATAATTTTGTGCACCCAACAAGTATAACTGAATTATATACATATGTTTCTTTAATATATCGTCCTTGTTAAAGGAAATTAGAATAGTTAGAATATTATTAATGATACATTAAAAATTTAATTCTTTATGAAATATGAATAGTGCGATAGAAAGAATGATAGTAATGTTAAATCCTCATTAATATAAATTTCAAGATGAAAAAAAAGTGAGCGTGAAAATTTTTTACAAAATAGTGTTACAAAAATGTGCATTATCAGAAATATGTATGATTAAACAAAATTATTAATTATTGCTATAATGAATTATAAAAACTATTAAAAAATTTGAATTATTGTTTTTATTAAAATTAATGATTTTACGTAGAAAAATTCTATAAATATATCTAAAAAATTATTACATAATTATTACATAATCAAGTAAGAAATATATTAAAAATTGTAATTAAGAAAACTCAAATGTATTAATGAATATGATATTTGTATAGAATTATATAATTTGATGACTAGATATATGAATATGCGGGAATTGATATGAGGAACCTATAACAGACTATCAATTTCTATCTCCAAATTATTCAAATATATGATAAATCTTGACATACATTATGTAATTCTACAAGCTTCGAAATTTACTAATTTGCAATCTGCTTACTAATAGCAAATCGAATAAAAATTGTATTTTAAACTACTATAATATGATCATATTTCTACGTCTTTATGAACTATCTTTATTATTTCTACCATTGATACTTTGAACGATTATATGATAATTAATATATATCAAATAAAGAAATTTCAACTTTAATAGAAGAAATTTAACAAAAACCATTGACGATCATAAACATATATAATTATTATTATATTTGTGCATAATTGAAAGCATTCATAAACTAATTTCCAATACTAAAAAATATATTTCTTTAAGATTTCATGATTGATTTCATTTTTTACTTTGAGATTTAATGCTAAACTTAATAATAATAATAACAAAAATATCATGAAAAAATTAATACATACAAAATATGTAATATATAATATATTAAAGCTTTTGATAATTTTTTCTTCATTTGTGAAAAATAAAAATGTATCTATTTTTTAAAAAAGTTTTTTTCATTTACCTCTTACTGCAATTTTTTTTTTTAATCAATGCTTTCATTAATGCATCATGATACATAATGAAGAATTTTCACTTACCTCAGCTTTTAATTCTGCAACTTTATCTTGCAATTCTCTGACTCTTTCACTGTCATCCAAATTATTTCTAAGTTCACCTTCCGCATGCATCTCTTCATTCTATAAGAAATAAAAAATAATTGATATATATTGATAATATATTCATATTAAAATATTAAAAAAAAAAAAAATTATACAAATAAGAAATAGTACTTTTAACTCAAGGAGAGATATTTTTTGCGTAAGTTCTGCTACTTGCTGCGCATGCTCTGCATCACGTATCCTAGCCATCATAGCTTCATCCTTCATCTTTGATTCTAAATCAGAATATTTATGTTGTTGCTCTCGTAATTTAGTAGTGAGTTCTTTCTCTCTTGATAAGGCAGCTTCTAATTCATCCTTAATGAATTTTCCACCTTCGTCTTGTCGACGTAGTTGATTCGTAGCAACTTGCACTTGAGTCTCAAGCTCCATGACTTTAAGTCTAAGCTCCTTCACCTCGGTTAAAGCTTCCATTTCTCGAATTCTGGTTGTCATTAAATCTTCTTCATATTTTTGCACTTCATGTCCCCGATTCTCCCAAAATAGAAGTTTCTTCGGCGTAGAATCACTTGCGGGTTGTGTTTGGGCGGAACGATGTTCTTGCAAATGCCTTTGCCAGGCACTGCTTAATTCCATTACTCTTTGCCGAAGATCCTAACAAATTTCTTATATTATAATAAACATATATATATTTTAAAATTAATAGAAAATTTTAAATGATACTTTTTAAATGTAAAAAATATATAGATTTCTAAAAAGAAAAATTACCTTTAAAGAAAGATTAGCCTCTGCTTCTCTTAGTTTCACTGCAATTAATTCTTCTTGTAAATGAGCAACAGAATTATCTGGTGTTGTTTCTCGTAATGTTTTTTTATCTTCTTCTAATTCTTGTATTCTTGCTCTAAGTTCTCTTATCGTTGCTTCATTCTCTGCCTCATATAATCGAACCTTTACTAATTCTTCTTGTAAACATTGTATCATTTCTTCTTTTTGCGACAATGCTTCCTGTTTTAATAAAATTTCATCCAAAGAGGATTGCTTTGATGTCACATTTTCTTCTAGCAGAAGCGACAATGATCTCAATTCTTCATGAGCTTGTTCAAGTTGATGACTGGTTTCAAGATGAGTGTGTCGAAGAGCTGCTAATTCTCTTTGTACAACGAAAGCAGTTTCTTCCTCTTCTGCTCGGGAAACTTGACCCCTGACTAATCTATCTGCCAATTCTGCAGATTCAGCTTCCAGAAGTTCAGTTCTTTGTCTAAGTAATCTATTCTCGGCTCTAAGTCTACGAAGCTCAATCATCTCTTCTTGCTCTTTCATTTTCAACACGGTATAATCTTTCTCAAGTTTCTTCATTCTTTTTGAATTTATTTTCATACTATAAGCAAGATTCATGAGGCCATCAGGATCTTTCTCTGCTCTTCCAGGTAATTGTTTCTGAAAGAACTGCATATGAAAGAATCGATAAATATTAATGAAACAAAAAAATGCCACATGTAAATAAATGTAAGCCACATGTAAAAATGTTTAATTATTAAACCTATAATAGTTGATTTTTTTTATAAATAGATATAATAAATTCTTTTTCTAAATATTCTTATTTACAAATGAGATGTAAAATTCTGATGATAAGAAATTACCTTCAACATGCCTTCCATGTCCAAGCTTAATAAATCTTCTTTGCCTAAATGTAACATGGCCAGTGCAACTTTGAAAATAATTTCCATGCCTTCAGATAGAAACACGTCAAAAATGCGGCAGGCCAGCGATAGACTGAGCGTTGTAGTAAAAAGCGTAAGAAACCAAGACGATGCGTACATCGATGTATGAAAACCTTGAGCCGCAAAATGAGCGTGTAACTCGGGATGCGTGTCAGCAACTAAATGTTCTAGCTGATACATGCACACCCCTAATTCAGCCATACTCGGTTTGAACATGTCTCGCAAACGATACTCTTGCATAAGCGCTACCAGTACAGCGAAAGCTTCTTCTTCTGGCATTTGCTGTAACAACAAATTGATATACCTATTTAATTTTTATCAGCGTAATTCATCCCATGTTTTTCTCTTTTTTATCTTTAAAAATTATTCTTTTTTATTCTTTTATATTCTTCTACCCCTACTCAAACATTAAGTGTACCTGCATAAGAAGTAATCCTACAATAAATCCCGAACCTTGACAGTATCCCACTTCACGATCATGAAGACTATACGCTTTCATAACGTTAAATAAACTTTCCTGGCCAAGCCCATCTTTTTCCTTAAAAAAATCATGCTCAGGATACGTTCTGGCTATATCCCTTCTAATTATCCTTTCGCATGCGGACGTGGCCTTGATATACTCAGCGAATTGTTTTTTCACAGGAGAGTCATGAGCACCACTTAATAACTGCCAAACAATACCTCTGTAACGATGAATATAAATCAATTTTTCCTCAATTGAAATGCTTATTTTTTTTTATTTTGCTAATTATTTCATATTAATTTTTATTAAATTTAGAAATTTTAAAAATCATCCAAAATTACTAATGAATTTGATAAATTTAAGCTTTCTTCTAAAGCATTGATTACCTAAAATGATGAGGTATTCCTTGACGTACTAATTCTTTGACGAATTCTTTCCTCTTCTTCCAATGATAATCCCAATCAGCGACGATGTGACCCCATAGAGACCATGTGTTCTCTTCACCATCAGCTGAATTGTGGCGTCGGGGTGCAGCATCGCTATTTCCTCCGCTGCCCCCCGACGCCACAGATACTTGAGATGTGTCAGAACCTTTCCTACTGTGATTGCTTTGGAGCGAATTCAACGATTTTGCATCCGATTCGATAAGCCTGTTATTAATTATATCAAACTTTTTAAGACAAGTATTTTTCCTTAACTCAAATGCATTTAAACATTTTTGAGTGGTAACATATGAGATGATTAATTCATGCCAACTGAAATGAAAAGCTCGTCTTTAATAACAACGAAAATATTTTTAACAATTTGTCAGAAAATTTAAATTTTAATTGAATGAAATTATGTCCTTAGATTTAATTATGTCCTTAGAGTTAAAAAAAAAATATTCATTAAAGTGTACAATGTGAAATTCTTGTTTACTAACAAATGCCAGTTCTTTTTTTTTTATAAATGTTAAAAAGTTTTACAAAATATTAAAATTATTATTTTCATATGTTACAACTCAAGATTATAACAAGTATCCTTAATGCAAGAGTATATTCTTTCTTTAAAAAAAATGTGTGTAATATTGTTTTCAAATATATAATTTTCAAATATAAATGATGATAAACACAAAATAAGCAGAACTGCAAAATTAATAAAAAAACATACTATTCATAATAATTAAAAAATCTTTCTAATTCAAAATATCAATTAAATATTAAGAATAAGAAAAGTTTATATGTGTAATATTATGAAACTTTTATTAACAATAATATCATATAAGATATTATATACTTCAATTGTATATCAATTTCAATAAAACTTTATAGATAAAGAGAAAAGAAATATTTACACATGTTATTTCAATTACATAATTGAAGAAACATTAAACGATAAAACTCATGCTTCACACATTAGCTTGCTAAATATATAAAGTTTTACATTCTTCCATTGCATTCAATTTTTTTTTTCGTGAATAAAATTATATTTATAAAGTTTTACAGAAATTGATAAATCTTTATACTATTTCCTGTTACAAATATATTCATCTCTCTCCATTATTATAATTAATATTTGGCTATAGTAAAATTACATGAAACTAAACTTATTGAAAAGCAAACAATCAATATAATTGATATTCATGAATTAGAATTTTATTAATTCTTAATAATTCTGCTATTTACGATATTTCCTTTTTAAATAAATGGATTCAATAATTAATAGTTTATTTATTATTAATTAAAATTTCGTTTTATAAATATAAATATATCATTCAAACTATTCTTTTTCTCACTCGTAATCATTTGATTTTGTAATTATATTGAGTCATGAATTAATATATATAATCGAACATAAAGCAGCGATATATATGTAATATCTAAAGCATAATTTAATTGCACATGCAATGTAATGATGAATATTAGTTAACACACGACGATTTACCTATTGGCTTCCTCCAGCTTAGCTAATAGAGCCAGTTCGTCGGTGGGTATTTCCTGCAACGAGTTTATATTTTCTTCTTCAGATGAGATTGATGATGTGTTTGAAAGTATTTTGCTTGCTTGATTGTTGTTCTGACTGGTCTGATGTACTGTGGTGCATAAACACAATACACTCATCACCTGCGGTCCATAACGTGATAATCCTAACTGTCCAGCAGCCTGCTTCTCTTGACCCCTGCAAAACAATTATTGTTACATATCGTGGCATATCGTGATGTAATTAAATTGATATTATGAACTTTTATAGTTTCATGCTGATTATAGGACTTCCTAATGCGAATAACATTATTAAAAATATATATTGAAGTTTCAAAATAATTAACTACAATTGGACCACTTCATAGCCAAAACATTAGATTAAAGAAAGGAATATTTATTAAATCTTTCATATAAAAATACAATACAAAGTATATTAAATAGGATATATATAAGTATATTAAATAAAATTATTTTAATAGTATTAATTTTTATTTATATTATTTTTGCAAAGTTTCCAATTATAAAAGAGTAAATTATTTATAATTACGACGAATGAGCACTCAATACAAAATATATCAAGAGAAATTTTTAGAAATTTTAGAATTAGATAATATTTTTTATTCTATTAGCATAAAAATCTGAAATCTTAAGATGAGAATATATTAAAATTATAAAAAAAATATTAAAAAAAAATTGTATATATAAAACTATCAATTTATTCATATTTTCTTACATAACAATTTTATTACGCATTGCTGTTGAAAAAAAAGCATACGAAACACGATTATATTTTTTATTTCAATTTAATTATTTCCTCACGCAATTGAGGAAAGATCGTCGATAACATGTATGCATTTATATCTTATATGCATATATATATTTCATCTTTTTAATGTAGAAATTAATTAATGAAAAAAATAAAAAAGAAAAGTGTAAAAATTTTGTTAACGAATTTTTTTCAATATCAATTTACAATATATTTTCTTTCATTAATTCATCATTAAATAAAATATCGATCATATACGATCGATTCAAATAATAACAAGTGGATCGATCTTCAATTAAAATTTGAATCCTTCTTTAGTCTTTTTCTATGAACTTTATGGATAATTCCAATAAATATTCGTTATCTGTCGAATCAAATCATCAAATTAATATTTTTTTTATCGCTAAAAAATTTAATTTTGAAGAAAAAAAATTTTCATTTCAATTTGAATTAAAATTTTCCTTTTTGGAAGCAAGATAAAAATTCAAAAACTATTATATGTAATTTTTATTTTATAAATATTTTTTAAAACATAGATTTAAATATTTATTCTTTATGTATGAAACAAAATATTGAAATACATGTTATACATGATCTATATTAATTTTTTATAGTAGAACTTTTTTAGTAACTATTTAAGTGAATTTGCTATTCAATGTTGTCATATTAAATACAACATAGAAACATAAAAAAAATGTATATAATTAACGATTAACAATTCTCGAAGGTTTGAAACTAAAGACAAAATTCAAATTTATATTGCGAGTATAGATCACACGATATTATAAAAGAAACAATTTAAAACCTTATAATTATAATAAAGTCATAGTTAAAATTTAACTTCGATAGAAGAATATCCGACTTCGTTTTATTTGATCCATAATTATCCTTATAATAGATCTTTAATATTGAAATTTTTCATTTTCTCAGGATACTCATTTTCTTTGCTATATCGCGAAATAATTGTAAATATTATCCTTATGATTTTTTTTTAATTTAATTATATAACTTAAAAGTAGAATCTAATAGTAAAATAGAATATTTAATGAATTAATTGTATCGATTCTTTCGAGATTTTTGATAATATAATTTGTATAAACATACAAAAGAAAGATAAAAATCTCCATTTAATGATCTAAAGGAAATAATATCTATTACAGGGTCAATATGACGAATATTATTCGATATTACAAGGCAAGAATAATCATATATTCTACCTTGTTTTATTTCGTGTCCATCGCGCCGCCGCTGGTGCCAGCAAACCACGAAGAACCATCGAGAAATTTTCTCGTCACTCGCGTAACTTTCGATTGAAAATCGGATTCGAAATCAGCCTCCAGTCTTTTATTTGTTCAATTACTTTTGATTTCTCCGCAAAATGCTTGTTGCAGCATTCAATGTTTCAACAATTTTTCAACAAGCGAAATCGTTTTATTTATATCATTCAATTGCATATTTTTCTACGAGTATCTTTCGAGACTAATCACAAAAGTTTAAAGCTTTAAATTTTAAGCTTTTTAAATTTTAAGTTTAAAGCGATTAAAATTTTAAAGCTTTTTAAAAATTCGAAACATTTTTATACTATTACATAAAAAAATCTTTAAAAATCTGCAAAACTAAGATTTCGATAAAATTAGAAAATTGTCACAACATTAGAAATTAAACTTTCTTTTCCTCGATTACTTTCCATTCTGGATAAAATATGCATCTTAGAGGAAATCAGGAAAGAAATCTTGCAAAATGACTCACTGCAACTGTCTAACGTTAATACTTTATAACTTATCCTTAAAACCGAAGTTTCTCTAACCGATCGAAAAATTTCACGGTTTCTTCTTCGATCAAGGTTATTTTTATTAGACATCGGAATTTTTATTAAAATATTTATTTATATGACTTATATCTTCATTATATTTATATCATTATATTAAACATTTTATTCAATATTTAATTTTTATTGTTAATAACTTTATCTATATTCTATATTATTATAATATTATATATTATTTTCTATTCTCAAAAAAGATAAACAAATATTGTTAATTTTTGCCATTTCAGATCTTCAATTTTTCACTTCGATTCGAAATTATCAGATGTATAATAGCAACAAAAAGAAAGCCGAACAATTAGCACGTGCAAATGAATTAGCGAACGAATGCAAACATTCGTAACAATATGCCATATTGGCTACGAAATGGGATAATTTATGTTTCTCAGTTCTTTAAATTATCATGGAATTTCAACTACATCTGCGTGATGAAAGGCATTATCATATAAACGATCCTTTAAGATGCAAGTTTCTAAAATTAAATTAAATTAAATATTATAATATAATACATGCAATTACGTGATAAATTTATAATAAAAAAACTAAAAAAGACTAAAAAAAAATGTAACAAACAAATAAATAATAATATTATAATTGAAAATATAATTGAAAATATAATTGAAAATAATTAAAATGTTAAAGATGAAAAATTATAAATTTTATTAAAAAAATTTGTATATGCTTTAAAACTTTAAAACATATTCTTGGAAGTACTCATAACATCCTCTAGATAAATCGTATCGTTTATCATTCTCTTATCTCATTTTTGAAAGAAAATATATTCATACCACTTGTATAATAATTTATGAATAATATAATTAATGATAAATAATTTATGATGAATAAAAATAAATAATAATTAATATTAACATATATATTTTTATTTTGTAGTGAAATTAACGTAAATTAATATAATTTGATCTTTTCTTTTTTTTAATTACTTTATTCGCTATAATTTCCATTTTTTCATCTTATATTATCTTCGATAATATAAATAAATATAAATATAGAATTATTGATGAAAAATAAAGATGATGATAATAATAATATAACAATAATAAAAATAGAAAAAGATAATAAAATGAATTTGTTTAATATAAATATAGAAAATAAAAGAAATATTTTGAGAAATCTTTTATTAATCAAATTATGTACAAACGAAGTAAATTATTTATTCAGATATACAATTTTTTCAAAATTTTTCGCCATTCAAAAAATTATGGCTATAATAGATATAATTTATGCTTTGATTTACTATTGTATTGTCAAAGATCTATACAAATCTTTTATCTTTACAAAAAAATTCTCATTAAATTAATTCTAAGCTTTGAGAATTCTAAGTTATAAGAATCTTTTTTATCAAGATAAAAAAATCGCGTGATTATTGATTGACCATTTCTTAGCTATGTCCCATTTCGTTTCGTTCCTAAAAATATAATAAATTATAGATGTGTCCAAATTTTTGACACTGATATGTTTCAAGATATCATGCTCTATATTTGCGTTAGGAAATACATGTATATATAAAATTTTTATATAATAACAAATGATGCTGTCTATAATTATTCAGAAAATAATATATAAATAACAAAAAAGAAAAAAATAAAAAAGAATATTAGTACAAAATTGGCATTATTTTTTAAGTTAAAAAATTCAATTTATACAATTAATAGATAAAAAAAAGAAAAAGAAAAATATCAGTATACGATATCCAACCATAGAAAATATTTGGCTTTAATGTATCAATAAAAAAACAAATATTTTATTTGAAAAATATATAAATTTAAGCTGAATTTAACTTAAATCTAAATAAACACATCGTTTATCAAAATTATCATACTGCAAAAATGCGTTTTCCAATTTTTTTGAGACTTTATCAAATTTTATTTTAACTTTAGAAAAAAAAAAAAAAAAAAAAACTAAATGCTTCCACCAATTGATCTCAAAAGCTGTCTTTGTTCCAATTTTCAATTAATTCTGGTTCATTATATATTAAAGACCATTTTTTTAATCCAAATAAAAATATTAATCAATGAACAATTATCTAAATTACAATTAAATAAACAATAAAATATTTTTCATATAAATTATCTCCTAACTTCTATCCAACACAATTTCACTTTTTTAAAACAGATTAATTTTAAATTCTTCCACTATTTATCTTCAAAACATTTGTTTTTCTAATTTCTAACTATATTTCATTATATAAATCAACACATCATCCTTCATTTCAACAAAAATCTTAATACATCTTAAATACAAATTATCTATTATATAATATTTAATAAATCTATTTAATCAAAATCTAATTACATGAACTCCAAAATCTTCTTCTCTTTAAAATACAATTTAAAAATAATACAATAGTATAATTTAAAGAGAGAAAAAAAAAAAGAAACAAAAAAAAAAGGTCATTCACTATAATGGATGAGTATATATAACTAAATATATATATATATATATATATATTTATCCAGAAATAATGAAAATTGAAATCAAGTAGTATGACAGGTATAGAAAATTGTCTAATCGATGTACTAATATCACAATATCACACAAAGATAACGATTGATCTCTCGAATGCAATCGAGGTACGATGTCCGACAAAGGACGCCGGTTAATTGGCCAATCGATGTTGATTTTATCTTGTTCCCTTTTCCGATCAAACTGGCACAGTAGGATCGCCAAACACATACTGGAAATATGTACGAAATGGTTTGAGGGTCGATGGAGCCCGCGCAGGCCAGGATGCTCCACATGCGCACCCAACCTCTTCTTTAGTAATACAAGAGTAAATAAAAAGACTGCGATTCCGGTGACGAAACGATAGGAAATTTCCGTGAAAATGTAAAAATGTAACAAATGATTGAGTTTTTTTAGATAATAGATGATTTTTGGAAATAAAATGTTAAATTCATTTTATATATAAAGATATATTTGTATTCTTTACAATGAAATATTATCTTTAAAATTTTATCAAGATATTTTGTCTTCTTATTTCTTTAATATTTAGAATTGAATATTAATATAAAAAGAAAACATTTAATTTTGAAAAATATTTGAATAATTTTGAAGATATCATATTCATGAAGATTTATTGTAAATTGATATTAAATATTTATTCAAAATCTATAAATCGAATATTACGTATCATAAATCGTGAAATATCTCGATATATTTCGATACAAAAGGAATAAGATTTTAGAAAATTTAAGTATAAATTAATTGATTTAGATAATTAGTGTGTTTAGAAAAGAAAAATCAATTTTTTAGAGATATTAGATAATTTTATATATTTATATATTTGTTTATAAGTTCTTTGTTGATTAAATTAATTATGTTACACATATATCAATAATTTCTTAATATGTGGTATTCATCAAGTAAAATCAAATTGAAAATATTGAATTAGAGTAAATCATTTATTATATTTATTAGTTTCGAAATTAAAAATGAATAAATCATTAATTTTATTTTAATTTTTTCAATGAAAATATAATACAGCATTTATTTTACTTTTTTTTATAATTTCAACTAGAAACAGTAGAGTATATTTTATAAAATTTGTAGAAATGAATATATAAATTTTCCTAAACTTTCTATAATTAAAATTCCAATTAATAATAAAAAAATATATTTTGTGCACAGAAAAGTTTTATAAAATAAAATTGATCAATTTTTTCTATGAACAATTAATATACATATATGTATTTATATTACAACATATAACTATTTATATTTTATTTTTAAATAAAATTTTATAATGAAAATTTAATAAAATTTAATAAAAAAATTAATTTTTACATATAGAGATTAAGTTTGTATAATAACATTTGTATATTGTCATATTTAAAACTTGCAACGATTAAATGATTTTCAATAAATTTTAAATCAAATTAAATGATTATTATTAATCAAATTAAAAATAAAATTCATCATTTTAAAAAATATATTGTCATATTTTTATAATGAAAAATATTATGATATCTAATTTGTTAAAAAATATAATACATTAATTGCATAACTATTCTATCACTGCATAATTATTATTTATTATAGTATAAATTATTATCTGAAATTTTATAAAAAATTATATATAATATCATATATTAACAATTTGATAAATATTTGAATTATTATTAAAAATATTAATAAATAATTTTTCTTTAAAGTTTGTATCTATCTTTCACATCAAATAAATCGCTAATTTTTCAAAATAAAATAAAATTAATTTACGAAAGAAAATATTGACAAGTATTGACAAGTAATTTGAAATTATTTTTTTAAAAAAAAGAACACAAATATATCATAATTTTTCTAAATGATCCTAACTGATCCGCCATTTTTATTCCAAGGAAAATTTATTATTAATTAAATATTATTTAAAATTTGAAATCTGCTGCTATAAAAATATGAAGAGAAACGAAAAAGTATTACGATGAGCTAGGCTCGAAGTGGAAATGGAGAAAAAGCACATATCTCTTCGCACGAGGAACAATTACACGCGAAAAAGCAAGGAAACCTTTCACCGGTCTCTGTTTACCGAAACAAATTCGTTAGGTACGTTAGTTATTCTGGATTCTTCGATTCGCGCGTCTAGCATCTTATATTGGATTTTCATACTTTTCAATATATTATTCTAATTGTTTCATAACAATAAATGACGAATTGCTTTACCGTTACTATTACAAAACATATGTGCAGTAATATACATGAAAAGCAATCGTTCAAATACATATGCAAACAAAGCGATTAAGAAATGGAAGGACAGAAAGCACATTCGTTGCATATCGGAATGCGATGATTCAAAAATAAGAATTCCTCTACACAATTTCAGTAACCGAATTCTTAAAAAATATATTAAGTCAAAAATATATAAGTCAAATATGATAAAGAAAATAATTGCTCAAAATAAAAGCTAAAACTACCTTTTTTAAATTATAATCTTCTCTTCAATTTAGTAAACACTGTTGTAAATTGAATAATTGAAAAAAAAATATTTTAATTGTACAATGATTCTTTTTTTTTCATTTTGATTATTGTTTTCTTTGCCCTTTGGACATATTTTAAAACATAAAAATAATAATTATATAATTATAATTTATATGTATAATAATTATTATATTAAATTATATAATAATTATAATTTAATATTATTTGAACTAAATATATATTTTTATAAATAAATATAGAAAAACAGAATTTGTTTATGAAGAATATATAAATGCAAAATAAAATTGTGACAATAAAATTACATGGATTTTCAAAATTTAAATTTATATAGAATATAAATAATACTTGTATAAAATACAAGTACATTACTTGTACAAAGTAATTATATAACTTAAATAAAATAATTATATAATTTATATAATTTATATTTATATAATTATATAATTTTGGAATATTTAGTTAAATATCATAATTAATATTTAGAATCATTTTATTCTTATTATTCTATGTTAAAGATTATCTGCAAAATAATAAATTATTTTTCATATTTTATGTAATTTAAAAAAAATTAAAAAAAAAATTTTTAAAAAATAGTTGAAAATATTTATAACATTTAATTAATATTTATCTATTTTAAATTAAATATAGATTAGATAATTTTTCATCTATTCAAAGAAAATATGAGAAAATTATATTCATTATTATATCCATGTTAATTGATGTGAATCTATTTCTTAATATTTTTTAAGTTAAAAAATATAAAAAATTCAAATATTTTTTAAAAATTAAAATAACTTATACAATATTATAGTAATAGTTATACTATTTATGTGAATATCATTTATATCAATTATAATTTAAATAAAGGAATATTATATCATGTATCATTATTTTAATTTCAATGCAATTTAATATTTTTATAAAAATATCACAACTTTTTATTTAAAAACATATGTACATTTTTAAATTATTAATAATGTTATTTGGACAAAATTTTATTTTAATTTATTTTAAAAAGAATGAAAATATCAAAAACAAAATGCAATTTGTTTGAATTAAAATTTAAATGGAAAAATAAAAATATTTTTAACATGACATCATTAAGTATTACTCCACATATAGTTTGTTCTTGTTCATATCATATCACTTTTAAGTGAATGAAATATTATAAACCCTTGAATATCAAATATTAGAAACACAAAAAACAAAGAATCAGTAAAAATTATCTAACAATATAGTGATAGAAATGAAAAAATTGTCAGAATGGTATTTATCCAAATTAACTGTCAGCGAAACGAATCATGACGACCATCTGTTTCTAATATGCGCTAAAATTATTGCAAAGCACATACCTTCGATGTAATTATTATTCCATATGTTCTTTGTAAAACAAATCACACACTAAGAAAATTATGTTCTGTGTCAGTAAAAATGCATATAATGCTAATATAAGGTACAGAAGAATATACGCGGCTGTCACTACTTAAAATTGTCATCACGATAGATTCGTTCATGTACACTGGTGCCAACCTTCCAAATATTGCACTTCTAACTTACATAAATATGATTTTTTCATATATTTAAGATTATTTCTCTAATAATTATAATTATTTTTTATTGTTTTAAATTTCACATATCTAAATATTTATAAGCAACAATTATTAATTTATATTAAATTTAATTGTAAAATATTATATATTTACGATTAAAAATTCATTCACTAAATAAAGTTACCATATTATTAATGTTTTGATTTTCTAGGAATTTTCTTACATAATAAATATACTAGTATTGTTCATCCTGCTTAAATTACATAATGATAATTTCATTCAGTAATATTTGAAGTTAATTGAAATATGTTTTATTTTATTTTGGAAATACGTAAATTTCATGATATTAGAAATATGAAATGAATTTTTTTAATAAAATTATTTAACAATTTCTTAAAACAAATCGTTGTTTGATATTTTAAAATAAATTAAATATCTTTAAACAATTAATAGTTAAGAACATAAAGAACAACAAAAATTATATTGTTTTTTCAATACATACAAAACTAGCCTTTCAAATTCTCATGAACTATTATAAACAAACCTGTGTTAAAATTGTTTGATATATAATTTATATAAATATAAAATTTAAAACAAATGCAAATATTTCAGATTTATAAATAAAAAATATTTGTTGACATAATTGTTACAGATATATATATATTTTATATATCCTATCGGAAAATAAATATTAATAAATACTAAATATTAAGAGCAAAAAAAAATATTTTTTGAAAATGTCATTAAGAAAATTCATGCATCCAAGAAATAAATATAAAAAAATACCAGATTTCAAAGAACTTGCTTTATTATATCCAAAGTTTCGTGATATTGCAAATATTGTAAGATATATTTTTATTTGTAGCTATCACATTTTTTATAAAAAATATTAACAAATTATTGATAGGATTTAACAGGAAAGATAAAGATTGACTTCAAAAATGAAGAAAGCCTACGTGTGCTTACAGAAGTTTTATTAAAACATGATTTTAATCTAGAAGTAAAAATACCTTCAAATAAATTAGTACCAACTCTACCATTACGAATAAATTATATTTTATGGATTGAAGATTTAATGAAATATATTTCTTTTATTGAAATGCAAGAAGTAATTGGCATAGATATTGGTATTAAAAATAAATTGAATAATAAAATTTAATATTAAAATATTTTATTTAATCTAAATATTAAATATTTTCTTCAGGTACTGGGGCAGTTTGCATTTATCCTTTATTGTTTGCAAAAATGTATGGAAATCAAATGATTGGTACGGAAGTTGATGAAACAAGCATACAAACAGCAATTCAACATATTGAAAATAATAAATTGCATCATATAATAAAAGGTAAATTAATCATATTATATTTTGTTATTTTATAAATTATAAATAATTTTATTGATTTATAGTATTTAAAGTAAATGAAGGAACAATATTGAAGGATATTATAAAAGGAAATAATATCTATCACTTTACAATATGTAATCCACCTTTTTTTGAGATAGAAGAATTATCAGAAAAAATAATAAAACGTTTACCACCAAGAAATGCTTCAACAGGAAACAAAGTTGAACTTACAGTTCAAGGTGGTGAAAGAGCATTTGTAACACAAATGATTAAAGAAAGTATAGAGATTAAAGAAAAAATAAAAATTTATACCACAATGTGTGGTAAAAGAAGTAATTTATTATTTTTATTAAAATTTCTAAAACAAAAAAATATAGAAAATGTGACATGGACAGAATTTTGTCAAGGTCATACAAAACGGTAATTATAAATAATATACTATTTTATTATTTTACATTTTACTTTTTTATATTTATATATATAAATTAATTTTTTTTATAGATGGGGATTGGCTTGGTCATTTTTACCAAAAGATGTTGTTAATTTAATAAATGCTCCAGTTATTAGAAAAAGTGAAGATTATATTGCAAAATTACTTAGACAACAACATCCAATAGAGATACAATTTCCAATACAACATAGATTTCTTTCTTTTGATAATTTAGTTAATTTTTTGGAAGAAATAATGAAAGAATTAAATGTAATATTATACTTATATTTTCTATTTTCATATTATTATAATAATCATAACATTTTATTTTATATCATATTTTATATCTAGATACAAATCAAAAAATTAAATTTGCCAATTGACAATTTTAATGGTTGGTCATGTCAACTAATTGCAGAAAATGATACATGGTCACATGCACGTAGAAAACGTCGATTAGCTCAAAGATTAATGAATCAATTTATAGATCATAACACAAAATGTATAACTACAACAAATGATATAGAATATTCTACAAAAAAATTAATGAAAAATACTTCAAAAAATATAATTGAAGATCAAACAATTAAAGAATTACAAGAAACTGTTATAAAAGAACCTTTGTTAATATGTAACTTTTTTGCTGAATTAATAGAACATGAAGAAGCTAAAAATAATGATGTAAAAATATTTATGGTCCTTGAAAAAGGAACTGGTGGCAAGAATGCTTTAGAAACATTTCGACAATATTTAATAAACAAATTAGATATTAGAGAATATTTTCAAAAATCACATGAAAAACCAAATAAAAAGAAACGAAAACGATTAAAAACAAGCAAAATTGAAATGAATTTGAATCAAATTAAAAATTTTGTATAAGATATCACTTTATGTTCCATACAAAATGATTTATTTTATGTAAACTTTATAGTCATCATATAACAAAAATTATGTAACAGGTAACATATGTAAATCAAATATTTAACTTTATTTATAATGAATAATTCTTATTAACTAGCATTCTTCATTGTACATTTTAACTAACAAGTGCAATATAATATTTTATGTTGTAAAATATACAAATTTAAATGAAAACTATATGGCATGTTCATATTATTTGCTTTCCATTATTATTATCGTTATTATTATCATCATTATTATTATAAACATAACTGATTCATGACAAAAAATAATTTTTTTACTTAAAACAAATATGAACAAACTATTTGTATAATTTTTTTAACTTAATTTGGTGTGGCAATATAAAATTTTAACGTAACATGTTAATATTCGTAACGAATATTATTTATTAAAGATATATGCTTAGTAACAGATGTTTGTAATTCTAAAATTGCGGTATTTCTAATAATAATTAGGAAATTGATACTATCCCTATAATATATTGATTAATAAATCGTTTTTGATAATCGTTATTAATGATCGTGAAATATAATAGCATATTTGTCATTGTATTATCCTTTTCCTGCCATTATTATTTTTTTTATAAAACTTTTTCCATATAAATGAAAAATTTTTTTAATTTTAAATTATTTTCAGATTCAAATTTTCGCATAAAATGACGATAAAACAACGGTGATAGAAAAATGAAAGAAAGCTTTTTTTTCGTGATGTATACGAATGGTATAAAAACGATTAACAAAGCTATATAAATTTATCTTGTTGAATACAATGCAAATACTATCTTTTATTAATTTTTGTATAATCTATATTATTTTTAAACATGTATTATTTATGAAAAATCTATCAATATTCTTTAAAAGAAAATTATCTATAGTATTCATATTGAATTCAACAAGACTAACCTCAAATTAGCAATATCTAAAAATAGAAAACATGACTTTAATATATATTCCATGTATCGATAGCAACTAAAATGAATGACATTAATGCCTAAATGGCACAAAACATGATTTCATATATGTAATAATAAAATAGCTTATAGAAAAAAATTGACTTATATTCTACGATAATAAAATCCATTATTTGTTATAGATAATTGTTGTAACATTTTAATTTTATTGGTACATTGCATTTTGTTCAAGTTTTAGCAACACTTGTGCAATATGCTAAAACAAATACTAATTTACTATTTCATAGATTAATAGAAATGTAATATATGCAATAATATCTATAATTTTTATTGTTATAAAGTAGAATTAATTAAGTCTTTGGAAAAAATGTGACAATATTAGATGAAATTGTTGTTTATGATTTTACTAAGATATATTCTTTCTTTATTCCTTCAATAATTTGTAGATTTGTAGATTGTGAATCACAAATAAAATTTATAAATATATGCATTAAGGCAATGAATTCTTTCATTCTGAATTATTTACATAAATGGAGAATCAATTTTTTTTTATGTATTTATTATATACTGTTGTAAATCAGTCAAATAAATTATTTAGCTTGGCATATTGTATTTAAGCATTGCGAATATTAAGAAATCTAATTCTTTCGAAAGTTTGATCTATATTGTCATTGATCGTCATACTATAAAAGTTCGATTCTGATAGCCTTTTATAAACGTATACACGATACATCAAATAACGATCCTTATCTCGAGCAAACACTTTCACCTTATTCCAATCAATTATATATGCCGTACTCGCGTTACTCTTAAAAAAAAGATTGGACGCGGGCAAGGAAAGACTAGGACTTAGAAAAAAACTACTAAATATCATCATTAGCGGTTTAAAACAAGCTCAGCTTTCTGCAACTACTGATTCTAATGTTGTTTTATTTTCTTCCAATTTTTTTAATTCTTTCTGAGTTTCCACTTTCTTTTCTATTTTTTTATTTTCTTTCTCATCTTTCTTATTTTCTTTATCTTCTTTTTTACTTTCTTTTTCGTTCTTTTTATTTTCTTTTTCTTCCTTTTTATTATTATCTTTTTCTTCTTTCTTATTTTCTTTTTCATTTTTCTTGTTTCCATTTTGAAGCATCTTCGTCTCTCTGTCAGGTGTTTGTTCTTTTTGTCGTTTCTCTATTTCCGCTTTAAAATTTTCAATATCTTGTTGACTAATTTGAACGAAAAGAATACCATTAATCACGTTCAACATATCAAGCACAGATCCCATGCTAGGCGGTTGTACTTGAATCGGTGGTAAACTAACACCCGATTTTCCAGTATATATTTCATTCATTTTTTTCTGTAAAACCACGGCCTGTTGCGTTAGATGTCTTAAACAATCACTACTTTCTTTAGTTTTTTCATGGTCTTCGCCTAATTGTTGCTTATAAATAGCATAAGTTTCTTTCTCATTATTTAAAGCTGCTCGGAAATCACCCATACAAGATTGAGTTCTCGCAACAAGATGATAAGAAACAGCAACTTTCAAAGATCGTGGCCCGTGATATCGTAGATTTAAAGCTAAAGCATGTTCCAAAAAACGGAGCGACAATTCATATTCTCCAACAGCATGAAGTATCAAAGAAATATTGCTCTAAATAAATGAATAATGCTACTAAAGATTAAAAATGTTTGATTTTTCAAATTTTTAATATTCATATGAAATACTTACATCAAGAAGTGCTACTTCTGGATGATCTTCACCACAAACTAATAATGCTAAATAACGTGCTCTGTACAATAACCTGAGTGATACAGAAACTTGACCATTGGCAAAAGAGTATAGAGCAAGACGGATCTATTAATAAATAATAATATAATTATGAATATTTTTTTATTTTTAATCATTAATTTAATATGTTTATTTTATACTTACATATTCAGTAATAGTATATGGATGATCTATACCGTTAACTCTTTCTGACATAAGAACTGCTTTTTGTTGCGTTGCAAGAGCTTCTCCATGATCACCCATTATGTAATTTAATCGCGCAAGCATTCTGAGACATTGTGCAATTTCAGGATGCATAGCACCATAAACATTATTTAATAAATTAAGTGCCTCACTAATTAATTCGTATCCATCTTTCAAATAACCTTGTTGAATCTTACTTTGGCCGGTTGTATAAAAATTATATGCATCACTAGCCTAAATAAAAAATAAAAATCAAAAATAATTTATATATAAAACCATTATATATAGAATCACAAAATTTTTAAAATTTTGTATTATTTACTCTAGGATTGATATGCTTCACAACAGGGAATATATTGAGTATATCTTCTTCGAAAAACGTAGCTCTATTTTTATTTTCGAAATTATATTCACGCAATAAAATTTGGATACCAGTCTTTATACAAAAATTACGAAGTAATGAAATTTTTTGGAGATGAAAATGTTCTATTGTGGCATCCAATGATTCTGAACATGGTGTTTCCCAATCATAATAACTTTTCAGATCTGCTTTAATTTGTTGCCAAAGAGATTTAGGTGTCAAGGAAGCCCATTCTACTTCAGATTGTTGTGGACCATTATTTCTACCTTTTCTTTTATTGCGTCGTTTTGCAGTTTTACTTTGAAGCTAAAATAAACAATTATATAAATTATCATTTAAAAAATTATTACTTGTTATTGTTACTATTTTGAATCGACAAATATAACAATTTTCAACAAAAAATAAAAAGTAATAAAAGATAAAATAATCGTACCTCTTCCAGATTTTGTTGTGGATGAATAATTTGTGCAGAAGAAAATAAACAATTTAAAAAATGACTAATCGCTGCAGATAAACTCATTAATTCTGTACCCTAAAAAATAAATGTTAGCATAATTTTTTTATTTTTCATGAAAAGTTCATTCAAATTAAAATAATATTTTAAATTAATATACCTGCATATAAAATGTAAAAATATGTTTTGCCGAACGCAAAATAAGTTCCGAAACAGCAATACGTTTAAGATATTGCAATTGTGGGACAGTAGATAACATAGTTGCTAATTTACCAAGATATCTTACATTGATACCTTTACCGTGTAAAGCTTCTACTAATATGCTACCATCCATTGCAGCAGCTGTATGATCTAAACATTCTCGGATCTATGATATAAAAATTGAATCAATTTTAATTTTAAACAAATATTAATATGATAAACATAAAAATATTCTATATTAAAACATACAAAAGTAGGGATTTGTACAGTAAGTAAGAAATCAGCAGCATCTATCACCAATTGCTTTTGTTTCTTTAAAGCAGAACCATTTGGATCTGGATGTTTAACACCTGGAGAAAATACGTCGGGATTAAATCTGACATCAAATTCAGCTTCACGCAAACTGCCAACTGCTGTTGCAGCTCTGCGTACTATTTCTTTTGTACTTTCTTCCACTGAAAAAGAAAGAGATAAATTTAGTAGATATTTTTAATTATTTTATATATAATATTATTAAATATTATATATAAGATATTTTTAAATAATAAATAATTAAGTTATATACATTCTTGTTTTTCTCCACCAGTAATAGAATCAGTAATGCTTTCCACAATCTTTTTAGCTTCATCTGTTTCGATTAAAGTATGAGTAGAATCTTCTTTGTTACTATCCATTGCAACAGTATTTAATTCTTCCCTTTTACCTTCCTAAAATTAATTCAATACTATATAGAAATACTATTGTTGTTAATATTATTTTATTTAATATTAAATTTGAAAAATTTTTTTTACCCTAACAGAGACAGTTTCACTTTCTTTTTGCACTCTTCTTGCAGATGTAAGTTGCTGCAGATGAAATGCGGCATGTTTAATAAATTGCACATATCTAGCCTCGACAAAAGAATCGATCAATTCTTGACGAAGACAAGCAAGTTTATGTTTGTGTTCAATTGGAAAACCTAAAGCTCTTGCTTCTTTGCTTAATTCAACTCCTTCCACTTAAAAAAAATTAGAATAAAAATATAACAAAATTAAAACTAATTTTAAGTTTGTTATTAATTATATCAACTTACATTTAAGGAAATTGACATCAGGAGGAAAAGTTCGTAACAAATCCAACACATAATGCCGGGAATCATTACCGATTATACCTTTGCATTCTACACTGCTGCAGAGTTCAACTTCCTCCCCAGCATCGTTGATAACTTTATGAGGAAGAATTTTTAATAATTGGCCGGTTTTGTTTAACTATAAAATAATACATGTAATTTATAATGATTAAGAAATATATTTTAAAAATGATATAAAATTATTATTGTATACTAACCAATTCAAGATATTTTGGATGTGTAAGTACTGTTTTCCCAAAATCTATAGAACCATAAACAACAGATTGCTCCTGCTCGCGTTCCAAGATTCCAGGGATGATAGACTGAGCGGTGACACGATATCCTCTATGCAGAGGAATACGAGTGATTACCACGAAAACTTAACATCCTTTCGATCGAGATGTAAGTTGCGATAGAATACTGAACATCGAACAAGTATGTACAAATGATCCGCTACAAAATATCCACGTCGTACAAATAATGTGATGAAAAGAATGCGTGTATTTAATTTCGTACAAACCTGTAATCGATTACAACGGTACCCAATGTATAGGGACCAGGTAGATCAATAGCAGCATACACTCTAAGACCTTGTAAGTCGTTTTTAGGTGCAACGAAAGCAGCTGCATCACCACCAAGTTCTTTATAATGATCCCTGACATCAAACCCAAGAGAGAAGAAAATATTGTTCCAAATAAACATCTGCATCTTCGCTTCTTCACCAGGATTTATTGCCATTACATTACCATCTATCACAGCTACTGCTCCTCGAGTAGCAGCAGCAACAAAATCACTATGGACCTAAATAAATCATTTATGAAATATAAATATGTTACAACAGTAATATTTTGAAATGCAATTATTTTAAATGTAAACTTACTTTAAAAATAGCACGTTCTCTGAGCAGTCTTTCAGGTAAGTTTTTTCGAGGTAACTCTCTTGTTGTCTGCAATTCCTCGTTCCAGTCTCGAGTTTGGCCAGGAATATGTTCCTCATATCCCAATTTAGAAGAGAAAGCTATTAGTAAATAGAAATATTGGAAATAAATAATTGAATAT